GTGACTAGAGATGGTCACTAGAAAGAGGCTCAGAAAGTCGTGTAAACCTGCTCTTCCCTTTTCTCTCACACGTCTGATGAGTTAATGTGAGAGTGATAATAAGCAGACGTATCATTTAATCCTGGTACCTTCCTTTAGTTCTGCTAACTTAATAGATAAACATGCAAATCTTGTGTTGACAAAAGGTGGATTTTTCACATTTTGTCATGTAATACCTTCTGTGACCACTGGTCTTGTTTATGCTAGGCTAACAGTATCCTAACTATTAATTATGACTCTTGGTCTGCAGATGTGTTGTTTTAACACACTTTTCCCCACTTTTCAACCTCCAACTTGTCCGTTATAAAAAAAATTAAAATATTGGTATAACGAATAAATACGATGAAATACTGGGCTATGTCAGAAGTTACTAAAGCTTACTACAGCGTGGCTAGCTACATTATTACTCAGTTTTTTTCAGTTAGCAACTTTGTGAAATTAAGCTAAACTATCCGATTACCCAAGGTACAACACACCCTTTAAACCTAATAGATAAACATGCAAATCTTGTCGATTTTTCACGTTTTCTCATGTAATACCGGCTGTGACCTCTGCTATTGTTTATGCTAGGCTAACAGTATCCAAACTATTCATTATGCCAGATATATATTTTCCTCTTAGTCTTCATATTTGATGTTTTAGACAAACTTTCCCCCACTTTTCAGCTTTTAACTTGTTCATTGTAAAAAAAATTGTATAACAAAAAATTTAATATAACAAAATATGTGGATAGCTACTATATTTTTATGGGTTTTTTTCAGCTAATTACTGAGCTAAACCATCCGATTGTGTCGAGCAGATGTAAAAATGGTAAAAATTCTGTCATAAAGCCTTAGAAAGAAAAAAAAAGCTGTACTGAGATATTTTCCCTACTAAAATGCTTAAAGTTCTTGTGATTAACTTTGGCGCCCCCTGTGGACAAAGCAGTCCTTGCTTAGCTTTTTGGCATTTAGAGAAATTAAAATTACAATATACAAATTATCAGTCTTGTCCCTGATGTCTTGTCTAAGACATCACAAAATGGCATCAATGCATCACAAAAAACTCCTTATCGTAGCTTTAACGATTAAATACGGTTAATTATCCACCGCAGACCTAAATGTTTCAAACATAGAGGCCCACATGGATCACACTTGCTGTTTTGTAGAGAAGGTGAGGACTGATTCTGAGAGAGCTTGTTACATAATTTGTTGTGTGGTATTTGCAGCTGTTGTTTTTTTAACACCAAACGCTTAAAGACAAAAATCTTATAGGCTATAAATAGATGAAAATATGTTATTTGAAATTTTGCCTTTAATAATCTTTATTTTGTGATTATTCTAAAGTAATTATTCGATATGAATTATTCTGAAGTGTCAAAATATACCATTGCTGGTTCAATTTCAATTTGAGACCATTTCAGCCATGACAACACAAACTAAAATGTGTAGTCTGTATTTATGAAGATGTGATTTAAGTGAAAGCTAATGGAAAGAGAGTCAGAGGCAACACTTAAAAAAATAAATAAGAGCAGACACTCACAAGTAGACGGACAAAAAGAGACATTTCACCCCTCCCAGGGTTGAAATGCTTTCCAAAGACGTTAAAGTCGGGGGGTTGTCAGAACACATCACCTCACTTCAGAGGGAGCAGCGGAGTGGTGTGAGGCTGAGAGGCCAAGAGTTAACTGGCCAGCACTGGATCGATCCCGGGTCGCGGCGGAGGCAGCTAGCCAGTATAGAGGTCAACTGACAGCTATGTGCTCCTCCTTAACTTACCGATTTCTGCTTTAACCCTTTGACTCAAAGACTTTTACCAGTTCCACTGTACTGTGGTCTCCTCTAAATCTATACAGAGAGCAGTTTGCTCTCCAGTCAATGTGTTGGCTTTTCACTTTGCCCTTAAGGTAAGCAAATGGAGCTACACGGGGAACTGATATCCACAACAGTATCTTTATTATGAAACTGGGAATTGTACAATATGATGAACATTCAAAACTATATTTACACTGATTTAAATATGATTGTTTTAGTACAAAATCTGATATTTATGGTGCAAATTCATCAAATCAGCAATCTGCAAGCTAGCAATGAGTCTGAAGTTAGTGTTGTAATGTTATCAGACTTTACCCTACTATTTTTGTGACCCCTAAAAATATCATAATAATGACATTTTCAGGATATTGAAAGAAAACTAAAGGAAGAAAAATATCACTACCAGTCATATTAAACTCCATCTGAAATAAATGAATTAAGACGTCTTCTGCTTCGACTCCAGTTTACTGTTTGGAGCTGAACTGTGCCTGGTATTGTTTCTTGTGTGATTGTGTGCAGAGCAGGAAGATGTCAATCAATCCCCGCTTCGCCTCACCCACACAGTCTTGAGAAAAGCTTTAAACAGCAAAACATTTTTATCAAGATTCAAACATCTCTGGGCTATTGTGTGTGATATTTTCATCGGTGCTTATTAAATATTCCTTTTTAAAGGGGTTTCCAACCTTTTGGATTTAATTTCAGCAGCTGTCATGTTTCTATTACACACCTGACGGCAATCCTCACAGTTCAACCCAAACTTCTTCAAAAATAGACAAAAATCTGTATAATTTAAAAACTTCATAAAGCTGTCTGTCTCTGTTTTCTCCTAACTATGGCTTACCAACTGAAAGTGACCCTGCATTAAAAGCTTTGAGCTGCAGAGTGAGGGGTGTCCACAGGGGGCGCCAAAATCAGCACAAACCAAAATTCCTCACAGGGGCTTTAAATTAAAACTTGCCGCTATGTGGTGAGTAATAAAACCATGTGGTTGCCACTTCTAGGAAAATGCTAATGCTTAGTCGACTGTATATTAGGGTTGTAACGGTATAAAAATTCTACCTCACGGTTATTGAGACCGAAACAGATATGGTTTTCGCTATTATTGAGGCATTTTAAAATGTTTTCAAAGGCATTGATTACGGCATCTTTATGCTTTTAACTAGCACTAAACAACGCCTTGTTTTCATCGTTTTGTCATATCTTCCTTGGTGTTCCGTGGAGAGTGCGCGCCAAGTATTAGCATTAACGAGTAATCGCCGGCGATCATGCGGCTGACTAACTTGCGAGTTCTCGTCCTCGATCACACTGATTCATTAGCCCCCACGGTTTTTGAAATGAAAACAGTAATCGTTATAATCGACATTTTTATCATGATTTACCGTTACATCCCATCTGTGTCTGGCGTTTGCGTCCACCCTCTTGGTTTTTGCGACCCTCCTTGTAGTCGGAGTCATCTGCTGTTTTTTATGATTTTATGAAAACTTTAAGGCACACATATTTTTCTCATGCACTCCAATTTCTGAAAACTCTCAAGCACTTCAGAGCCATATCACTTACCATTTCCATTCATCTCGTAGTGGACTGTACTTAATGTTCTCTCTCTGTGTAAAGTGATCTGCTGAAAGAGTTCATTGAATCTGAATGGCGCTGGATTCAGTGGACTCTTCATTTTCGCTGCACCACTCAGGGGGCTGACTCCTTGTGGCATTTCTTACTGCAGCTGTATTACAACTATAGCCCCAGAAACCAGATTATGCAAACGAGCAGCGTTCTCCTGTGAGCCCGAGTTACATCCAAGTGCAAAATTAGCCAGGCGCCGAGACACAAACATGATCAGAGAGAGTGAGAGCGAAGACAGGGAGAGGAGGAGGGAGAGGAGGGACGGGGAGGGTGGAATGGTATGTAGATTCATGCTAAATATACCCGCAGGTTATTGACCATAATGATTAGGTAAGCTGCGACTAGCCTCCACTCTGAAATCACTGATTCGGACGTGATTGGTGGAGTGACTCAGTGAAAAAAAACAGATTTTCCTGCTGGAGTGATTCGACTGAATGACTGCCTCCTCCTCAGCTGGATGTGGTCTCATGGATAAGGCTGAAGCTGTAAATATTTCATTGATTCCATATTATTAATCATGTACCCAAAGGTTGCAGCTGAACTCACTTGATCCTATAGAAAGAAGATAACCAATTCTGTTATTTCAACACCAATTATGATGACTATAATTGACATATTTTCTTAATAATATTCTATTAAATCAGCTACTTGGTGAGCTTAATGAGAAATTTGAAAATAACATTTTTTCCTCAAAATTAAAGTTACTCTAGCTGAATATTTTTAGTGCGCAGGTTTGCTTTGCTAGCCGTACAAAACAGGGCGGACACAAGTACATAAAAAAAATAATTACAGGGAGATTTTTTTAGATTACCATTTCGTGATTAGAGTTAAAATTTTAAAAAGTTGGAATTTCAACTTTATTCATTTCGACTTTAATCTTGGATTTTATTTTATTTTTAATGTTCAAATTTCAACATTATTTACAACAATTTGTAATTTCTAAATTTTGACTTTAATCTCGAAAAAAAAATTATGTCAAAGTTTTGACTTTATTGACATAATTTCGATTTTTTTAATGTCAAAATTTCGACTTTTATCTCAAAATTTTAATTTTTTTTAATGTTGAAATTTCAACATTATTCACGACATTTTGTAACTTTGCAATTTGACTTTAATCCCAAAATTTTAATTTTTAATGTCAAAATTTCGACTTCATTGACAATTTCGATTTATTAATCTCAAAATTTTGACTTGACTCTAGGAACTTCAACTATTCATTATTGACGTTAATCTTAAAATTGATCTCAGAATTTTAATTTTTTTAGTGTTGAAATGTCAACATTATTCACATTTTGTAACCTCAAAATTTCATTTTTTTATGTAAAAGTTTCGACTTTGACATAATTTCTATATTTCTATCTTGTAATTTTGACTTTAATCTCGAAATATTTTATTTGTTTGTATCAAGCCATTTTGTAATCACGACATTTCGACTTAAAGTTTCGACTTTATTGACATAATTTTATTTGTTAAAATCTCAAAATCTTGATTTTATTCTCGAAGTTTCGACTCTCATCTCCTTTCTGTAATTGTTTTTTTCTCTTCATGTGGCCGTTATTCTCTTTCTTAAAGCCATGTGTCATTTTAAAGATAACAAACTTTTAAAAATCACCATCTCACACGCTAACAGATCAAAATCTTAACTAAAAATACTTCCTTGCTCACTCCTCCCATTTTAGCAATTGCTGCCTTTGACAACAAAAATTAGCAATGATGCAAGCTAAATGTAATCCTCTATTTGTTAAGGGTTTTTTTTGTGCACAACAACCACGACTCCCTCCTTATTCTCAGTCCTGTATGTTAAACGTTTGTCCATTCTGAGTTACCGTAGAAACACTATAATAGACATATTATGTCAACATAAAGGGCTGACTTCAAGATTCCATAATGCAGCAGTTGTGATTATAAACTAATATTAAAACATACTTACAGCATTGAATTATAATGAAGAGTGTTCATCCAGATATTTGATCAAACTGACAATCGTTTTTTTGAAGGCATTTCCTCGCCTCTCCCAAGGCTGGTTAAATAAACATAAGAAAGGAATAGGAGCGGTAACCTGCTGTAAAAGATGTATTAAGAGAGCCTCATAATCTTTAATAGACTGCTGTTGTCAGATATGAAACTTTAATCCATGGTCAGCGTCTGTGTTTTAAGGCCGTGGCTGTGAATCATGAAACAAAGAGAGTATTCATTAGAGAAAATCTGTGCGAGGAACTGCTGTGCAGACTAAAAATAGGAAGTCTCTGCTGGAATATCAAGGACTCAGCATTAACATACAAACCCCCTATAGACACGTTACATAAACATGCCTAAAGTATGCATTGTTTTGAAGTTTGTGTAACAGCTGTGGGTGTTAGAGAGGATACAGTAGCCTGAATGTAGATGTGTAATTAAGCCTCTCATAAATCACTTCAGCGTTCACATCATTTATAGGCGTTTGTGTGTCAGACACTTATCAAACTCAACAGTTCACAGTTGGGGCAACTTTGATTTTTCTCTTAAACGCTCTCCGATTTTTTACGGTCTCTTGGCAGATGCTGAATGGCACAGAATGAGAAAAACAAACAGAGGAATGACAGCTTGTGATCAAAGTAAATGAGTCATTAATAAGATGTAAGCCCTGTGTACTGTCTGTATTTTGTTCCCCCATGACAGGATATGAAAGGAACTTTGAATATTTATCAGACTTTGTGTTAATTGATGTCATGATGAGAAATAGCCGGGATGTTACAAACTAAGAGTGGGAAACTTCTAAAATAGCAAATATTGTGATACGACTCCTTTTTAAGTCATCTGTCACTGACAAGTCGAGTGTGTCTACTATTTTATCTCGGAGGGCTTCTCAAAACTTTGTCATCCCACTCCCGTACAAACACACGTGTTCACATTTCACCTTAGATGACTGGGACAATAAGTTGTAATATAAAGTCAAAGCATTGTGTGTGAAATACTTGAGTAGTTAAGCAGATCTCACACGTCACATCAAATCAATCCACGTAAAGTAGTCCCCGACACATTTTGCTCCTCATCAGTCGAAATGATAGTTTCTATCAGCATGCTTAACTGGTGGACTTCACCGTTGCTCCATTTAGACTTATGCTTAGGGTGACCATTCGTCCTCTTTTACCCACACTTTCCTCTTTTTTGGGGCTGTCCGGCTTTGTCCAGCTTTGTCCGGGGGAGTTAATAAAATCCTTCAAATTTCCAGGTTTTGTATGGAAGTTTCGAGTTTGTGTCACGTGGACTGACTGAGTTTGAAGTGTGTAAAAAACTCTCAATCCAACTGAAAAACTCCCAAAATTAACTACACACAACACCGTGACTCCACCCCCACCTAGTCACGTCCTCTTGGTCTTGATTCAGAATATGGTCAGCCTACTTTTGCTGCTTTCCAATTGTAATAGTCCCAGTCGGAAATTCATATAAAAGACCCCCATGAATTTGGATCTCTGACTGAAAAAGTCGTCCGATCTTCACCAACCCCAACTTGACCACAATGTCATAATCAAAGATGGCAGCACTGTGCATCAACAGTAACCATGAAAGCTCTCATGATGTATTATTATTAGCAGCACTTCTGTTTGTTTTTTGTGAAATTAAGTGGCGTATGTAGTGCTGTCCAACGTCTAACTGTGGACATGGTACTATGGTGTTTGTTTGAGTCAAATCCTGTGTTTTGCATTGTTGAGAAGGGGATTGTGTACTCTGCCGTGCTGTGTGTCTCTTCAGACTTGCTGTAGTTTCTGTAAACAGACCAGCAGTTTATAGCGAAGTTGTTGTTGGTTTTTGCTCGTTCACTTTTTCTCAGTTGTACCTGTAACGCCCTTGTCTGTGAGTATTGGTTGTTACTGTGTTGAATTTACCTGTTAAAACTTCAAAAACAGTTCATTATTGATGTGGGCATACTTTAGAAATGGAGTGATGCTAACGCGCTAGCCTGTCAATGACATTTCCAATGTAACGTTAGCATTAAGCTAATCGGCGATTATTCGTTGTTGTTAATCTTCTTTATGTGGATTAGTATTGTATGAGATTATTGTTTGTGTTAAAAAAACAAGTTACACAACATATAACATCATTGTTTATTGTCATATTGTAGTTTCACGGTGTATCAACCGTAAAGAGACTGAAAACTCAACTGGTGACTCACATGTTAAATCAAGATCATCTGTTAGCTACCTGCTAACAACGGCTAACAATGGCTAAACGTTACAACCATAGTTACATCAGTAGGCGTCTAGTTTTGTTTTCCAACTTGTTTACCAGAACATATTTAACATTGTAACAAGTGTAATATCATTCCCAGCTCCGACTTCCGAGATAACTGGAGATAACCGAGCATTGGTTTAACATAACACTGGAAAAGTCGATAAAATGGTCAATTTAATTTAATAAATAATAATAAGCAGGCTAATGCTCCCCTCCCAGACACCCCAGGGTAATGCATGGTGAACAGGGGTGAGTGAGACTGGGCTCCAATAAGAAACAGCGATTATTCAGATATCTGTGAAACCTTCACTACAGTCGAACTTAGGCCATACCTTTTTTTTTTTTTTTCATTTTGAGGAGCGACATTTTATTTTGCATCTTTTTTCTACATTGTCAGACCTTTGCTTGTGATTTTGTTTTGCATCCTCTGAGCTTTTGAAGCTCTTTTTTCCCCCAAACACAAAATCATTCAGCCAGAAGCATGTCATCTGCCCTCACGGACCACTGTCACCCTTCACCCTTGGCATTTCCACTATGGCATATGCTGGGCAGTCAGACCGCTACCCCTGACCGTCTAATGTATTGCTGCAGATTGACTCACAGCACTGAGCGGTGTACAGAAATTAAAGCAGATTACTTAAACTCGGTGTAACAACGGTGAAAAAAGCCCAAAAGCTTTGCAAGATTAACTCTCTACACAAATATCTGTCTTAATTTAAAATGCAGCAACTTCTCCAAACTGTGAGACAATATGTTCGCAGAGTGATGGCATAGTAAGAAGTATACCATATGTTCCCTGGAAAGGAACAACAGATAGCCCTCCATATTTCTTAATTCCAACTGTGTCTTTTCTGTACAGCTCACAATATGCTCATGACTTCACAAGTGGACTATCATTTACTTCCACATGCCTCACATTATTCTGAGACTGCTGTTTCCCCCATTAGGGAGATGAATCCGTCCGCCGATGATTTGCATAAACACCTGTCAGTGCTTTGTCTCCCACTGATACCTAATGAATTTCAAGCATTGGCTGCTCTTTGCTGTTCACTTTCCCGCCAGTCATGAGATGTCCCGTCTCCACACCGAGACTCGATCTCGTCTCTTTTTTTCTCGTCGAATCACATTCGGCATTCATCCGTCTGTTCATTTGGTTTTATTCTGTCGCTAATGCGCGTTTTGTCTTTTAAGGCACTTACAACAAATTGGTTTGAAGGATCTATTGATAAAACTCTTTTTCTTTTTCCTCCGACTCCTGTCTTTTAAATCCACTCAGGTTTTGATGCACTGCGCAGAGATGAAAAGACATTTCATTCTCAAAATAAATCACGCTGAGTCCTCAAAGCAGAATTAATATATCTTTAAAATCACACCCATTCTCCCCTTCGTTGACACCTCATTTGCATTTCCATAGCTTAAAAAACAAGATTAAATTTATAATGTGTGCACAGCGGATAACAAAGCCCATGCAAGTGCACTCAGAGACCAAGGATCCCGAGGTCTCGACGGTGATGAGTTGCCTGCTGCCTCACACACTTTGTTATAAATACTGCCTCAGACTGACTGGCTATAGGAGCCATGCATCACCTGGGCAGATAGGCCAGTAAAGCGATGATGCGTGTGTCCTTGGCATGGGGGGTGAGAAGGGCTCATAGCTTTTATCTCTGGCAAGCATCAGCAGAGAATAGCCGTCACAAGGTCAGCCTTGAAGGTGAAACATCAGTGGGATGCTTTGCGATCATAATTCTTTGCGGATAAGTATTGGAAGTGTCAGCCAGGCATTTGTACACTTTTGTCGGGCTGAATTTCACTGTTAATAACGCTTCGCTGAGAGGTATGTGAAAGCTTTGTTCGTCATTTCTGCTGACTGCTGCAGCAAACTGCTTCGGCGGCGGCAGCGGCGGTGGCGGAGGGGGGAAACAAAGGTAACGCAGCTCCACAACAGAGAGGCTTTGTTCATATTCAAGACAGCGTTTCCGGATATTACCGCCTTTTTCTCGCTGTTGACCTCATATAGCTGTATTTCAAATATGATGGAGCGAGGGTAATGGGAAATTATTTCTGATCTGTTCTGCTGGCATCACGTCCCAAGGTGCCTGCGTCTCCAAAGTAAATGTTATTCTTTGAACTTGTGTCTTGTTGGCAAGTTTGCATATAAATACCTTAAAATTAAACCTAATATTTGTATTTATCACATTTATCAGGATGTCAGAGAGCGATTTAGGATTTAAAAAGATGGATTTACTCCCCCTGGGATAATCCTGTACTCTAATATTGACAAATGGTGCCTAGATTTTTGAATCATGCCCATAAAGAAACACAAATAAGTGTTTTTTAATCTAATATAAGACTGTTGGTGTTAATGTGATTATAGCAGTATGACAAAGGTGCGAGGTGAATGCATTAATCTTGTTATGCACACAGTAGATAAGCTGCTACAAGTCAAATGTAATGTGCACTTTGTGTCAAATGGTGTTGAAATATCACCGCCATGAGCTAAGCATGCAGGTGCAGCGGGCTAACACATAGAGCTGCATTAAACTAGATTACAACTACAGTTACTACAGAATGGGGGGCAGCTCAGGTCCCTTTAATAGAGTCCTACATTTTCAATCTCGTCACTCTTTCATGCAGCCTGTAGGAGCCTAGGACCTATTTGAGTTCATCAATATGTGGATGATAATTGAAGTTTTTGTGTTTAATTATATTTTTGTTGATTGTGGTAAAATTCTAGCTGTTTACTTTATTTACAGTTAGATAATTCATATTGATAAGTTTATTTAAAGGTGGGGTAGGCAGGAATCTGTTAAAGAAGCAAACAAGCTTTTAATATCAGTCAATAGTTATTGGTTATTGATGACATTTGGTAATGTTATGATATCCCTGTGTTCTCTTATGTTTGTGTAGTCAACATTTTAAATGTTTTGAGTGGTCCGCTCTTTCTGACTGTAAACAAAGCCTCCCCCCTCAGATGATAACCCCCAGCTCTGTTAAAAAAAAAAAAACTATTTATGGATATTTCCAGGCAGTAGATTGTTTTATCCAGTTCTAATTAAAAATATTTGAGTTTTTAAAGTGAGAAAAACTGTTTATCTTCAGTATAAATCAACATACTGAGCTGAGAGTTGTAGTTGAATCTCTGCTGCAGAACATTCACAGTGAAGGTGTCATTTTAATTTCAGTTTTTTTTATTATGCAACACGTTCAAGGACACCGGAGCATTGTTATGCACTCGGCTTAGGTTAGCGAAACATGATGGGTCACGGCGAATAGCTTCAAAAATCGAACCACTAGGAAGTTAAGAGTGCGTAAAAAAAGATGGGGTATGAATACACATGGAAGGGAAGAACATAAAACCCTATTGTTCTTGGCAAATCAATTATGCAAATATCCATCAGGGGGTTAGGAATATGTCCTTGGAAAAAGAAATACACTAGGTTAAACTGAAGCTGAACTTTTACCAGCAAACAAAACACCAGAAATCAATATTTGTGTCTGTAATATCTGTTTCAGCTGGATGCCAAAGGTTAAAACAGGTTCAGATGAGGAAATGGAGAGTTTTTCAGACAGGAATTTTCTGCACTTATGTTCCAGGTTTACTTCTTTTTGTCTTTAAAGAGAGAAAACAGGTTAAAGCGGGTTAATTTCTTTTATGATAAACCTCTGTCGTCGACGACTCGAGCGAATTCAACGCTTCATCCCACCAAAGAAACCCAGTAGAGCAGAATTAGAGGGGCAAAAGGAAGGTGACGCTATCTGGCACAGACTCCGTGTTTGCTTAGCGGTGTAGTCAGAGAGGCTGGAAATACAGCAGATGGCCAAACAATAACCAGCAGCAAAATGTGCGGTCCTAAGAGAGCCGGGATGAAAGTTGTTGGAGGAGTTGGCATTCAGAAGCTCCCCTTCACCAGCGCCTGGCCTTTTTGATGTGTTCTTCCCCGTGGCGCTGGTCATTCTGAACCAATAAATCATGGTGACAATAAATGCTGTGACATCTGCCACACAGCATCTGATGGCTGACAAAAGTCATCTGTACCCTTGATCTGTGAAGGGAGAAGATGAAAATAATGTGCTGCACAGAGCCAATAAAACCGGCCACCCCGTGTGTTTGCCACGGCCGATATTGGCAGATCAGTCGGTAAATTAGAGCAAATTCAATCATCGTTTCTGGTCTCAATTAGCAATGTCAGAACCGCTCAGTTATAACCTTGATGATCACCAACGTGCTCATAATAATGCTGCGAAATGATCACAGAAATGACCATCAGAGGGATTTCTCCCCTCTTTTTTTGGTTTCACACACTCTGATGTCCAGCGTGTGATTTAATTAGACACAATTCTGCTTGATTGCCAAGCAATAAAAATGATTATTTCATGCAGTACCACAGCCAGTTTGGACTATATCAATGTACTGTGAGGGCCGTTAAACTCGGTGCTGAAGCTTAACTTTCGTTTGAGACTGAAGCCAACGTAGAGGTCCGGATTTCGTAGATGATAACGGGTCTCAGTGCGGTGCTGAGTAGGCACGTCAGGATATCCGCAAACGTTCCTTTACTGTCTCCACACACCAAGTAAAATCATTTGCAAGAATGAATTACATGTTAAGTCAATGCAAAGACACGATAAGACGCCCCTACTACTCTGGCGGTGCGAATGATGTGAATTGGGCGTGTGCTGAAAATGTCTCATCTTGAGCGGACATTGGTTTTGCTTTAACTTATCAGCACAGAAGTTGCCGGGTGACGTGTGAAAATGGACAGTTGTTCACTGGTATCTTACCTGGGATTTTGTTTGTGAGGCGAATCTCATGGCAGATTACGGACAGCAGGAATTGTGAGAACTCGCAAGAACCCGCGGATTCACCTGCAACCACGCGATAACAAGTTGTCTCTAGCCACATAGGCTAACCATGTAAGCAGTAGATTGTGTCCTAGAGGAGGAAATCTACTTCTAGACTTATAAATCAGCATCTCCTAAAATGCTGAAATGGTGAAATGGTGTAACCTTTCACTTGTTCATCCCCGCCCGTTTGCATGGTGTGAAATACGATCTGCCTGAAACATGGAGTGTTTTATTTTGAAAAGTGTGTCCTTTCCAGCACGGGATAATCTGTGCTGAATTTATCTAGCATGCTCTGGCGTCCAGAAAAATAGAACTCTTGCGATCAGCTGCAGAGTCCGGCGATCCACAGTGGAACAGAGAGAAGCCGTTGGAAATTGACACAATAACTTGAATGGTAGCAATCAGCTTGCGATCGGAAGATATGGCCTTTTCGTGGCCGTTCCAGATGTGGTGGAAATTGGGGGTTAAATGGAGGACGAACTGATCGTGTCGGCATGTGGGTGCCCTGAATTTTACGATACCTTTACTTTCAATTAGAGAAACCGGAGGCAAGTGCGTGAGGAGGTCCGATTACCTGGTAAATTGTAAAAAACCCTTTGTCTATCACTTAATCCCATTGGTTGAATAGGCAGGGATTACTGTCGAAATTACCATTGACGAGCGCAAATGAAGCGAGTAAATACTTTTCATTTACGCGTCTAGATTGGCGTGAATTAAGCGACTAGATAGTAGATAGTAGATTTACTGGGGCTTGGTGTGAACGCCCCATCAAAGGCGTCACTTTCAGGTAATTTCATGAATGTCTGAGATGCAACACTCACAAGGTTTATCTTACATTTTGTCCCTGAAAAATCAGCCAAAACAAAGAGTCCCAGGCAGAGGTTGGAATAAGGTCATCCCGAACCCCAGCGCAGACTTGTGCCTCATTTATATTTAGAGGCGTTTCAACACCAGAATTCAGGAAACGAGTCAACATTCATGTTTTTCTCCTGAAGACCCGTTCACCTTGTCTTATATAACCTTCGATGGAAATATTCGATTTAATGTGAATAACAAAATAAGCGGGCTAAAAACACTCCCGCAGCAGAAGTCCTTTTCACCTTTTGGAACATCACTTTCAGCCGCAGTTTTCTGTCGAATGAGTTTCATATCAACAGCGATGTTGTAAACTGACAGTTACTGGAAATGTGATGTTTGTTCACGCAGCAACAACCCTGATTAGAACCGGTTACCATGGTAAAGCAACCAAATGACAGCTTTAGTTAGTGGTAATGAGCGCGATAAAGCATGGTGGACAGGTTGTGGCGTAAATACCAATAACCGTGCTTGAATAGAGTTATATGGGAATAAAATCAGAGACATAATTTGTTTTCTAATTTTTTATAATCATACTGTCTTGATTTGAAATCACTGCTCTCAACAGTGAGCCTCCACTCCATGCTGAGGCTCTGGGGCGCAGAGGGAACAGATGGGGTTGAGGGAACACCTGGGCATAGGGTTACACATTGTAAAGCCACCATGTGCACCGCCAGACTGTGCAACAGAAATAGGAGGACAACAAGGGATATAAACTGGGACCACAGTCATGACGGGCTCAGTGTCTCTGTTTACATGTGCAATATCACTCCTGTCTTTGATTTGTGGAGTAACCTGGAGTTTCTGCAGTTTCTGACTTGAACTTCTCACATGTTTTCGACACAGAACACAATCCGGAGCTATAACAGTACGTTTTCAGCCAAATAATACACAGTTTAGGACATTTCCCCGCTTCATTTGTGGTGCCCCGCTGCTCAAATGAGGGTAGCCAGCAGCTGAAAATTTCCATATGTTTTGGACGACTCCCTGCGCAACTCCCAGGGTGGGGGAAATATTGTTTACTGGTTTATTCATACAAACAGGAGCCGTTTTATCAACTGTTCAAAATCACAGCTTGACCTGACATCAACTGTATGGCCCAGAGCTGATTTTTTCTGGATGTCAACACTAGCTACTGGTGATGCATTGTGAAAGGCTTAACACGGTCGGCTGTCGTTTGTTAAAGAAGAATTTCGACTTAAACTTGAATAAATAATCCAAAGCAAGTGTTGCAAACTTAACTATGTGTTAATACTGGTTTAAGTCTGTGTATTAATTACATTAAAGTGAATATTTGTGCAGTTTTTGCAAGATAAATTGAAGTTAAACTTGTAACAGTAGTACTGAGTTGAGGTGGGTGATTTTATTTTGATAATGGCTCCCTGCAGTCCCAGGAAATATGATTGTTCAGACTCTCAGTTTTACTTCGTCACAAACTCAGGTCGATCAGTTGCACAAAGAAGTTGCAGATGCTGCTATAGTTTATGGTGGACGACTGTATTTTCAACAGTAGAGAGAATTATGCGAAGGAGGGCTGAGAGAGGAGCAGGAGGAGGCTGACGTCTGAAAAGCCAAGGGACGAAGGAAGCACGATCACAAGCTAACGACCGACAGGCTAGAAAGTGACACACATATACTGTAGGTATAAACATATATCATTATTAACAATCAATATTTTAGAGATATGAGAAACAGTCCTTGAATTTATCATCACGTTACTTTCCAACATAGATGTACTATGTGTAATACTTTAAAAAAAAAAAAAAGCTAACCCCCAAATTCCACCGTATGTGGAACGGCACCAGTACAGGATATGTTGGTGAGGCAATTTTTGTGGTGAATTTCGGACAGCGGGAATTGTGAGAATTCGATCACATGGTCACAAGCTAACGACCAATAGACTAAACAAGTTACACACATCTAAATTTATGCTTATTATTATTAACAATTACATTTACAGAGATATGAGAAACAGTCCTCAAGTCGATCATCACGATACTTTCAAAGAAAGCACGATCACAAGCTAACGACTGACAGGCTAGAAAGTGACACACATATAGGTATAAACATATATCATTATTAACAAACACAATATCAAGAGATATGAGAAACAGTCCTTGAATTTATCATCACGTTACTTTCCAACATAGATGTACTATGTGTAATACTGGGGGCAAAAAAAAAGGACAACGCCCCCGCAGATACCGAGAAGCTGACCCTCAAATTCCACCATATGTGGAGGGAAACCACTATGGAACAGTGCCGTTCCGCAAGTATAGTGAATTTCAGACAGCGGGAATTGCCAGAACTCACAAGAACCAGCAAAGTCACATGCAATTGCGCGATAATGTGTCGTCTCTATATACCTGTAACTTGTTCGTCCCTGCCCACATTTGCATGGTGTAAAATACAATCCGCTTGAAACATGTAGTGTTTTATTTTGAAAAGAAACCAGATGTTTTAATTTGTGTCTGTGCCTGACTAAGTAGCCAATGGAATTTGACACATTAACTTGAATGAAAAAGATTAGCGGCAATCATCCTGACATCCTCTTTGCCGTTGTTCCGCATGTAGTGGACTTTGGGGGTAACCCGTAGATTAGCAACACCAAGCCAGTACAAGTAATCAAATTTACCTGCATAAAGCATGTAAAGTGTATGATTTATGTCGTGTATACTGTATTTCTCATGCATAATTCACAAATATCCACTGAATTTATGTAGTAGTGATGAAAACATTTTGATAACGCTGACTACAAGAATAAAAAAAGACTGTACAGCTGCATTAACACCGCCTTTAAGAAAAAACCCGAGCTGATGAATTTACGCATGCAGCTCCGTGACATTACGTTCACCCTGCTGCCATCCATCAATAATGTCAAGCATTACTGGACCAATTTATTAAAAGGATCAGTATTCAAAATTCCGTGTAGAGAAAGATAAAAAAAAAAAAGTCTCCCTCTTTGAGCGGAGCGATCTATCATAAAAGCCGTCTAAATACTGTGGTCATTTCCAGATGAGTCACGATAAAAGAGCCGGGCGCTGAAACCGTCGTCCCTATACTTTGAGAGACTGTTCATTAATGCAGCTTTATCATTCCTCCTTTACTGTGAATCTGCATAAAAGCCTCCTCTTAGACTCCTGATAATTTACAGCACATCACAGATGACTTACAAGAGTGATTTCTACAGAAGCAATATCTCCAAAACAGAGTGTGCAGAATGGGAAATCAGCGACGGCTGGATTCCCGTGGGGCTGTGCGACAAAAGTGGGATAGGTCTGTGCTGTCAAGGGACGGCTGGCATTTGATATTTCCGTCTGCATCGAGAGAGTTGAAACCAAACAGACGGAGTCCCACGACTTGGAGGAGTTCTCAACTCAAATAAACAAAGCATTCATTTACATGTATTAATACTAAGTGAAAGTCTTGGTTTCTTAACAAGGCTACCAGCGTGTGCTAGGTGCTTATCACGAAGATGATGATACAGAAGTTCATTGTTAAGAGGTTACTTCTTGATCTCGCCACATGCCTTTTAAATGTATATTTATGAGGACCCCTGGCACTTGAAAGGATGCCAGCTCGAGCCCCAAGCACGTAATTCCCCCTTAATTAATGTATTTATTCAACAACATGTTCAAGCTTTGGTGTGCCCTCTCTTTTCAAACTGCCCTTTTTGAAGATGCCGTTATGCACTTAATAGCCAAGATGCGCATTGTTTTTATTTCTGTTGCAGAGATAACAACGGCGCCGATTTCCATTTTGCAAGGACAGAGGAATACATGTGATTTAAGATATGCATAAATAGACATTTAAATTAAGTGCCAGAAATAAATATGTGCAAAAGAGGGAGAAAGAAACGGCTTTCTGGGGGGAATCAGAAATGGAGCGTGAAGCTTCTGAAACAGCAATGCCACAGGCTCATACAATTATCTTTCTATTCCCATGGCAAAGCAGTGTTATTGTTCCGACAATATTTTCTGCCCAAAAATTTCTGTGAAATTGTTCGCAATTTACAAGAGGATCTGTTGCATCAGGGCTGAGTCGGTACTGTTAATGGAAATGAGTCAGGAGAGGGAGTGGGAGCCTCCGGGTGGCCCGTTTAGATGATGGGACTAAAACTGTTCACCTGCAGACGCCTGTTCGTTTTTATCCCACCGCCTTTCAGATGGACTAACCTTGAACTGGATGTTTTTTTGAATTATATTAAAATCATATTGTCATTTTCAAACTTACAGCCTGTTCACTAAGTAACTGTAACCAGGACTGGGTTAACTATTAAAAAAATGTACAAATTTATATCAAAACTCATTTAATCCAGTTTATAGTTTATATTTACATCCATGACTTGAACTTAAACTGTTCTTCAGTTTTATACATTAACTTTACAAACTCAAACTCACTATTGTCTTCATTAATATTAGACGTGCGTCCCATTACCTTAACTATTTTAATTATTTTTCTTCTCATTTTTACTTTATCGTCATTACCTCCATTTATCTGCACCTGTCATTTGAATAGTTATCTTTGCAATTTTGATCAATTTCTTTCACCTTTTTTCAACTCTTTATCTTAACAAGTTTCCTCTTTTACCAGTTTATCTGTCCATCCAGTACTTTGACAGTTTATTACCAGTACATATTACCTTGACCCGACTGAAGTTTTTGTCTGTTATCTTGACTTTTTATTGTTTATTGATCATATTGGCTAATTTCATCTGTTTATATTTTCCCTTTTATCCATTTCAGTTGTTTATCCCTCATCGGTTTTAACTGTTTGCCTATTACCATCATCAATTTCTGCTATAGGCCTAGACTGCCGGGGCTATCTGGCACACTGAGCTAGAGTCTGTCTCTATCTCCTCTTTAGATCTTTATGTCCCATATAAGTCACTGACCAGTTTTCTGTCTCTCTGAGTGTCTCTGAGTCTTTTAGCTGCCACTGGACTAATGCTGCAAACAGGTCTGCTGCGGAACTGCCTGACCCCAGCTGCATCCACCCTGGGCCCTGAGCTCCTCCAACTCTTTGGCTCTTTGGCTCTTTGGCTCCTCTGGACCGTTGCCGCAGACCGCTATATAAATAAAATTTGATTTGATTTGATTTGAAGAGTTAAATCATCATTTTGATGAATTTTAAATGTTTTATTTTTAACTAAATGTTCACATTTACCGTCTTAAACTGTATATCAATCATATCCGCCATTTTAAACCATTTATCCGTTGCCTTTATCAGTTTTGACTGCATCTATTATCCTTCACCAATGCCAAATCCAACCCATAGTGCATTTGGAAACTGATTTTCACCTTTCTGATTTTAATTTTTCTGTCATGGTGAATGTCTCTATGTTTTTTCTTTCTGTTCGTTGCCGTTTTTGACTTGTACAGCTAACTTTTGTGACGTTTCCTCGCTTTCTTGACGGTTTTCTGCTTCCCTTCATTTGATGTATTTCGTTTGTTTGTTCGCTCATCTGTAAGACTTCTGCATACTCCAAGACCTAATCCCCTCAGGTACAAATATTGACGTTGGGAATCGATGAGCTAAAGTCACGATCTAGATGTGATTTTAAAAACTTTAAAATTTTAGCTGTGTTGATGAAAAGAGAGCCCCCTACACTGAATTATCTGTAAGGAAAGCTGAAAGAAGACGTCAATTTGTCTGAAAGCCCCCAAAATTGGCGGTCCTTGACTCTTGAGTACCGCTGTCTTTGAGCGACTCTTTCAAACTTATTATTCAGACTTTGGCAAGAAGATCAAAATTTGATCTACTTCATGAATAAGACTCATTTTACAAGAGGCATATGCACATTGTTATATGGAAAAGTACCTCCAAATCAAACAGAATAGTGAATCTGTTTACCTGCACTTATTTATATATAGCGTGTTTTTCCTATTCACTCTGTTGGCTCATATGAGTAGTAAATATTGTGGTTTCTTGATGATCTGTGTCTGGTTCCTTTCTGAAGTAGATCCATCATTATAACCAAAATAGAAAAGAAACCATCACCGTCTTCATCTATAGGACCCCTCTACCCGATCAGTGCACAACCTGCGTCTCACATGCGGTCGTTCTGCGGCGCATTTAAAGGTTTTCCCTGCAGATTAACATATACGCTGTGATGAGATGTAGCTCAGCCGAACAATTTCCATGTCTGACTCGCCGTGCTCTGATTTCCAGCTCGTAATATCGTGTCCTTCTCCTCACAACGCTCCAGGGACAGCTTCTCGGTATCCGCGGGGGCGTTGTCTGTTGAAGACGGAGATTGCCCCTGGTCACTGAGTAGGAAGAGAGCCCATTACAGCGTGACCCCGTAGGGTCATTTAGAGGGGGCAATCAATCTCAGGATGAATATGTCTGCTACCTTTCAAGGAGGGGAGCAAAGGATGTTGTCAAAGTGGGAAGACGAAACCAGGATGTATTGGAAGGGGAGAAAATCCATCTTGTGGAGTCAGTTCAAAGTGTCTTTATCTCCTATAGAAAAACAGGGACATATTCTAAACTGTGTGAAAAAAGGATTTAAAGGCAAAACTGCACAAACAAATGTAAATTATTTCATATTCTTACTGCAAATTGGTCTTGGACTATTCACACATTAACTAAAATGTACAATATTCTGCATGTAATATTAGACTAACCCTGATAGTGTGCCGTAACAAACATGGTGCCAGAGCTAGAGCACATAGATATATCATCTCAAAATATCCATGTATAAATGAGTAAATGTCAGTGTTAGGCAGCTGATTTAAAAGTGAAATAATGTTATATAATTGAAAATTGGTGATCGCTAACATTAGCTGCTTTATTCCTGCAGCTAAAAGTCTATTTACCTGTAAAATATCACTTGTAGTTCCTGTAAGGAAACTGTTAGAAAGGTAAACTACGCAGAAATGTAGGATGACCATATTCTGACTTCTCAAAAAGATGACAGGACTACTCGGGTCGCACAAAGTTTATTTTGAGAGTTTTTCGGGTCGGATGGAGTGTTTTTTACACGCTTTTAACTCACTAAGTCCACGTGACACAAACTCAAAACTTCCATACAAAGCCGTGGACATTTGGAGGATTTTATAAACTTTCCCGAACAAACCCAGACAGCCCCCCAAAAAAGGGGGACATGTCCAGGTAAAAGAGGATGTATGGTCACCAGAAGACATGGAACTAATTGACAGTATTTTGCAGTATGACACCGGAGTGAAATACCCTGCTTGCTCACCCCTCTTGTTGGGTAAAGGATGGTGGCCTTCAAGGACAAAAAGCTCCTGTGATGCATGATACATCTAATCCTCCATTTGTCTAGTTTTTACGATCAGTCACCGACAGCAGAACAACCACTCTGCTCTGGCCCATAACAAAAGTCAAGAAAAGAGTGTATTAGTATTTTGTCCATTCTGTGATCCTGTAGAAACATGGCAGCCTCTTTGGATTTCCATATTCAGGCGATTACTAATGGTGCGTTTAAGTAACCTCGGAAGTCAGA